TGCTCGTGGGGAGAAATGGAGGGAGTTTTACGGATGGACTTCGAAATTTGTGTTGTGTATAAGACTTTGGGGGAAAACGAGCTTACAGGAGAAGTTTTCTTGTGATAATAATAATCTCAGTGCTAGGCACGACTCTTTTGCGCGCTTCAATAATTTTCGAGTACCTTGTTTTCCAATTTTACCCTCTGTTTTCATCTTTCGATTAATGAACTAAGCTAACTGATGGGCCTGTACATTTGTTTGAAATTGGGTCGTGGCCTTTTTTATCAGCCTATACTCCAGTGAGTGGACTATGCACAACTCAGCATTGCCTAGGCCCAATTGTAGCTTTCAATCGAACATTTTGCTTGTAAAATAGTGATAGCCTTGCCATTTTGCCGCGAAGGTTACTCAATTTAATATGTTCATCAATTGATACGAGAAGATTATAATATCATAGTATATAATTGAGATATTAGAATGATATTAACTTGTAGTTGTTGAACACAGTCTTAAAAACTCACATTAACAAATTTGAATACACTATTACATGCAAATGGTTGGAAGAAAGGACTTGAAAAGTTTAAAGTTGTAAAACAAAACTTGCTCATAAGCTCGGCTCCTCCCAAATCTCAACGAAGATTTAAGATCATGCTAAAATACAAGAAATTTGAGCACAGCTCAACTTTCTTCTTGGTACCCTTACTGGAAACTTATACGCATAGTCGTGGGCGCATATTTGATGTGGAACCCAACCCAACTCAATACACGAGTCAAACAAATTCCTTGTTGAAACGTATATTTTTCTTCGCGAGTGCGCAAAACGATGTAAGAACGTGGATAAACAACGTAGTAAGCGGAAGCAATAAACAGAAGATGTAAAAACTCTTCAGGGAAGCGTCCCACTTCCCCTCATAGCTCTGTCATTGATAAACCGTTCATACTTGCATAGTTTGGACTTACACGACTCGAACTCCCTTCTAGTCTAGCCACAACTACACATGATCCTATCAATTACTTCTCCGGCCACGTCCCGTGGACTTCTCCCTCTCGAATCCCTCGAGCTAACAACTGTACTTAATCCTTAAGTACCGATCACAAAAGTGTTTGAATGAAAAACAAAAGAAACAAAACCAAAGTCTTAGTTCTTCGATGGCGTAAGAACACCGAAAAACTGAGTAACGAAAATAAAACTAAAAAAGGCTTGAAGCTCGAATATTGAATGGAAGATAATTATTTCAGCAGCCTATCTTCGATCTTCAAGCAGAGTATACATACAACTCCTTAGGATGGAGTCTTCTCCAAGTTCTTCCTTTCTTTGTAGGAGTCAATTTCATTATCAATTGATTGCTTTCTGATTTGGACGAAATCCTTCATGTAAAGTAAGTTTTCTTGATGTGAAATTTGTGTATGTGATTTGGAGATCTTCAGAATTGAGCTTCCAATGCCTTCCAGAATCGGGTAAGAACATGCCTTTCAAAAAATAGCCGATCTTCCAAATCTTCAAAGATCTTGTGGTGAATCTTTCTAAATCCTCCTTAGATCTTCTCATGAACGTCCATAACTCTTCTTGTATGGATAGCTCATCCTTTCATAGTCCTTGCCACCTATTCCTTGTCATACAAGAAAAAGAGAATTAATTATGGCACGTGGCATATATGGTAAGTAATAATATAAGATATATATTATGTAATCCTTCTCCTAAAGGATTAGGATTCCATAATACATACTATAATGAATATATAGCATATATTATTAATAATAAACAAGGTTTTAAATAGCGGGCTGAAACGTTTATGGCACTGTAGCTATAGCGGAGCTATAGCAGAGATTTAGCGGGATTTAGCGGCTAAATTGCACATGAATACAAATAGCGGCACGCTGCCAAAAAAAGCTATTTCTCCAATAGCGGCAACTTTAGCGAGCTATTTATTTCCTTGATAATAAACATTAGGGATTTAATTAAATCACAAGTAAATAAATAGAAAAATTTTTCTTTAATTTATTTTGCTTGCTTAACAATAAATCTTTTAGAAAACACTTAGGTTTGTCGGATGATGGCAAACCAATGTTCTTACACTCGTGTGCGAGGATGGCGAGTACCCGACTAGTTTACAAGCCTATTTGTGATATTTGATTTGATGCGTTTTTTCATTTATTATTATTCTACTTTTTTTTTTTCAATAAGGGGGCGCGAGGATGAAAAATCGAGTCCTAAGAGCATGATTGGATACAAAATTTCTCCAAAAAATCCAAACATTTTTAACTCAATCATTTTTTTAACTCAATTTTAACTCAACTCCACTATCATCAATATTATCAATATCATTAAATAATATTAATCAATTATTCTTACACACCACATCACCTTAATTCACTATTCATCCACTCACATAATTTTAACTAACCATCACTTCAAATCTCGTCTCTCATACTTTACATCAAATCAACTTTAATCATTTTTTTTAAATATTATTTTAATATACCCACCAACAACTAACCATACTAACTTTTTCAAAACTAACCCGACCAAACAAAAAAATCCAAACAAAACTAAAAATTTTTATTATCCAATCATCCTCGTAGGCTCCCTGAATTTATACATTTTGCGAGACTTCCACTAATAAGTACACACTTTTTTTTTTGGTACAATAATTACACACTTTAACCGGCAACCGAGACAACTATTTGGTCGCCCGCCGAAAGCACGCACACTCACCGGCCGCTCCACTCAATCGCCGGCGCACTTTGAACTTGATTTTCTCGGCGACGGCCGTTAGATCTCAGAATCGCATCTGAGCTGAAGGCTTCCCCCTCAACAGTGGACAAATGCTACACGAATTGCTGCTGGCGCTCGTAGGTTACACTGGAGATCTCATCGTCGACGAGAGGGAACACCAAGAAAATCTACGGGTTAACTTATCCCCGGACGCGCCCCTCGCCGATGAGCCGACTTTCAGGCTCGCGTCAGATATTTCCTTCATTCAGCCCAGCGAGAGGTCCTCACTGTGTTTTTACTCTTCTTTTTGGATATGCTTAATTCTCACAATCGCCTGGTAATTAGGTGAAAATGTATTGTTGTTGTTGAATTTTAATGTGAAGGTGGCGTGTTATTTGGTGTTGAATTAGGCAGTTGATGGGCTGAGAAGTTGGCTAGAGTGGGCAATTATGTCGGAGATTATTGTCATTGTGCAATTCCGTGTTGTTTTTGTACACATTTTTTTTTTGGACATGCTTAATTCTCACAATCGCCTTGGTAATTAGGTGGAAATGTATTGCTGTTGCTGAATTTTATTGAAAAGCAAGTCCGGGTTTGTGTTATATGGCGTTGAACTAGGTTGTTGATGGGCTGGGAAGTTAGATAGAGTGGGTAATTATGTCGGAGATTGTTGTCATTATGCAGGTCTGTGTAGCACCTGGGTATTTTTTTTTTTAATCTAATGGTGTAGTGAGTGATTTTCATACCTATTATTTGGCTGAGACTGTAAATTCTGCTGATGGTTAATATGAGCATTTTGGGCCTAATGAGTTGATTTATGAATTTATTGTTCCCCAGCTGATTAGATACATTCAGATATGAAGCTGATTTTTTTGTTTTTAGTGAAAGATGGATAGTTGTTTTATGCATTATATATAATCTGTACGATTTTGGTTTGTAAGTTGTTGGGAAAGTAGTCACATTAGAGTTTCTGTAAAGAAATAATGCACTCTTATTCAGTTCTTTTAATTATCCGGTTGCTTGATTGAATTTCTCCTTCCAGTATGTATATGACACAAAATGTATCTGGTTAGCCTTTTATGTCATTCATGCATCTTTCATTTTGATTGGCAGGGAAGTTATTGAGAGAGTGATTACGCTAGGTTTCTACTATAGGGAGCTAGAACGCTTTGCTGCTAAATCTAGGAATTTAAGTTGGATTCGATCTTCGAATGAGTCACCCTTGTTGAGAGCCGCAGAAATTTCAAAAGGAAAGAAAGTTAAGCCAAGTGTATATAGGAGGGCATTGGCAAATGGCATTGTTGAGATGTTGTCTGTCTACAGATCTGCTGTTTTGCAAATCGAGCAGAAATTGTTGTCTGATTCCCTGCCCATCCTGGCAACTGTGACACAAGGACTCAATAAGGTAGACTTTATGTTATTTCAGCTTCTGTGAATTGGATGGTTTAATTATTGTCAGTGTGTCAGTTTTTGGTAATGTTTACTCTCTTTGTCAGTCTGTGGATACACAATTAATTTTTGTTGAATTTTTTAGTAACATATGTAAGCATGACTTAAATGTCAGTTATTTTCAATATTCCGTCTACTTTGTAGACCTAAGAAGCTTAGAGCAGTAGCAAGATGAAACCTTCCAAAGGAACATATGTAAAATTTGGTTAATTTCCTAGGTTGTCACACACTACAACTAGCTGGATTTAGCAACTCCATACTTTTGAAATGAATTCGACTGAACAGTTAGTTTTACCACCGTGACGTTTAACATGCCAAGTTATGCTAATATTAATTTACTTTTTCTCTTACTTCAATATCAATTAATTTGTGAAATTATGTCTTAGTTCTTTGTCTTGCTGCCACCTCTTTATGAGCTCATTTTGGAGATTGAGCGTGATAATGTATATGGCGGGAGACTTCTCAATCTCTTACAAAAGCGATGCCATTGTGGGGTTCCTGAACTACAAACATGCATTCAGCGGTATGAATTAGTCCGTTTCATATTTGCTTAACCTTCTCTTTATTATTAAAATAAGTATCTTTGTTATTTAAGGTCTCATATCTGATATTGCAGCATCTAGCATAGTACATTTTAATTCACTGAATTCTTTGAGTCAAATTTGGTCAAATTAACAGAGATTCAGTGAAACCTAAGTGCTTTTGTCAACTCAATGCTGCTCATGCTTATCATGATTCGTGAAACTTATTAGAGGTATGTGCTGCTCCAATTTCAGAAAACCAGTTTATGGTTAGGACTTCAATCGTCATACACATTAGGAATTACAAATTTGGCTGGAGGGGTGGGGGAGCCTGGGGTGGATGTAAGACTGTAAGTGGTAAGGGAGTTGGGGCTGAGGGATGTCCGAGTAAGCTATAGTCATTTGAGCATCTTGCTTACAAAGCCACCAGGGGTAATTTGCGATTTGGACGTTGTTATGCTTATGGTTTTTGTTTTCGGAAATGGCATTTTTATTTCTTGGTTTTCTTGAAATGAAGTAATGATTTAATTCGGAAAATAAGCATTCTAATTGAATTATGACATGTTAAAGCATAGGGATGATATTTTTGCCATGCTATTTCTATTTGATTTTGAAGTTTGACGTTAGTAACAAAATGATGAACAAGTTTCAGAGGTTTTAATTATAGTTCACCTGAGGTTTGCTGTGCTGTGATAAAAAGCTATATAGGCATTTGATTCTTCCTAGGGTAGGCGTTTTTATGTTTTCTAATGATAGACGAATAATATCAAACAGGCTTCTATGGCATGGACATCAGGTCATGTACAATCAACTTACATCATGGGTGGTTTATGGGATCCTTCATGACCAGTATGGAGAGTTCTTTGTTACAAGGTGCAAAGTTTACTGGGTACCGTCTTGTCCATTTTCAATACTATTAAGAAAATAGCTTTATAAATCAAGATTTGGATACAATTTGCATTTCCCAGGCAAGAGGATAGGGATTCTGAAGATGACACAGGGGCAGATACACTTAACAAATTGGCTCGCATGTCAACCAATGATGTGTCTCTAACTGATTGGCATCTGGGTTTCCACATTTCTCTGGTATATTTTCTTCAGCAGCTTATTTTGCACGAGACTGCATGACTAGGTTCTTCATGAAGATATTTTGTATTGAATGTGTTGTTATATCCACACTAAACAGTTCTCAGATCAGTGATTGGTCCCTTTTCAGATTTATAATTTTGAATTTTTGATAGCCTTCAACAATTTTCAAGCATTTGATACCCACCATCTCCTCATCCCTGATAAAGAAAAAAAAAAATAATAAAATAAAATCACTATAAGAAGCAACTAAATAATTAATTAGCTAAATAAAATGAATATTTTTGTATTTTATTTTTGGATTATGTTGCAGGATATGCTTCCAGAGTATGTTCCAATGCACATAGCTGAATCTATTCTATTTGCTGGAAAAGCTATCAGAGTTCTCCGGAATCCAAGTCTTGCTCCATCTCATCAACACATACAGAAAGGATCCCAAAGGTCTCAAGTATCTACGGGAAGGCTGTCCATGTTGAAGGACTCTTCTATACAAACTATATTGACTGGAGAAGAATTACTTCCACAATCTGAGGCTGACAAAATTGAATCTATGCTTCAAGACTTGAAGGTATAATATTCTCTAA